GATCCCATGAGAATAGACCCTCCCCGCCCCCCACCACCACCACCATCTTAACCATTATGACCCTAAATGCATTAGGCACTAGTATTTGTTTTAGGTTCCCTCAGACATTCCCTCAGAACTTAATCAAAAAATTCAGACAACAGATTTAACAACACGTGTATATTTATTTTAAAGAACCCTCTCGTTTTAAATGGCTCACAGACCTATGGGTCCAAGACTGGTTTTAGTCTTTACAAAAATCTTAACTATTGCGGATTCAGCTTCAAATGCCAGCAGTCTAACTTTGTGAGCTATTTTAACTATTTAGTATGGGGGTATAAATACAAACGAGGTTGTCAAAAACCGGTTTCCTTATTTTTTGTAGCTTTTTTGTTATTTTCGACCCCAGGGCAGGGGTGTCCCTAAAAAATCCTATTTTAACTATTTTAAGATCATATCCTATCAAAATATCATAATGGGTGAATAAAAAAAAAAAATGACCACCAAACTGAATTTTTTGGCAAAATTCAACTACTTATAACATATTTTTCACTTATATCATCATATTGGAAATGCATTCTAGTTTAAAATCCTGAAGTGGCAATAGAATAGACAATTGGATAAAAAAAAGTTTCAGAATTTTTATTAGTAAAATTTCTTTTGAAAAAAGAAAATATCATTACACCTAAAAAGACTTTCTAAAATACATAATCAAAAGAAATTATAGTTTTTTATGCTTCAAAATGGTAAAAGGGGTATAAATGATTAAATCTAGACCTTGAATGAGTATCTTCTCTTGTACATGTGACAAAAAAATTGGCTTTTTGATTGTTATTTTACATTATTTTTTCAATTCTGGTTTGAAAGTTTTAATATAAAAAAAATATGAAACAATAAAATTCCCCAAAATTAACTTTTTTGTCCGTTCAAGTCAATTCTTTAAATCTAAGCCAAAAAAGAATTGTTATATACAAGTTCTCTTACAAAAAATACTAGATTTTGAAATGACCCTATGTAACATTATTCAGTGTTGCACTCCTGACATCTGATATGTATTTTATTTAACACTGTTTTAAAAATTATAACACACAATAACCCATTCTTACTTTGTAAATCAATTTGTCGTGTTGATATTTTTCATCATTTACAGCAGGTTTTTCATATTTTGAAGACCTTAAAACATGATTATTTGCAAAGTGTGATATAAATAAATTGTATTTAAAATATATGTGAAATGATAAAAACTATTCCCTGAATTGACTGGAAAAATTTCTGTAATTTGTTGATAGACATAGTGTTTTGAACATCAAATAAAATCAAGCATTTTTTCAACATATTTTTTAGTAAAGATAGAAAGATAGTTAAAAAGCATTGGTAATTATGAAGCAGTTTTGTTGCACTACAGACTGCAGTAAAGTTTAAAATTAAAACCACAGAACACACAAATTCATGAAGTGTTGGAGACATCAAGTGGTAATGAAATTGTGCAATACTTATAGTCCAATACTTCATAATTAAAACAGATGAAAGTATTTAAAATTCACGTTTTATCTGGAACTATACCCTATTTCATGCCAAAAAACTAGCTTAAATGTATATTTAGAAAATAAAATATATTTTAAAGCATATTTTCCTTTAGAAGACAAACACAGTAACCTACCAGAAAAATTCTACTCATCATTTTTTCGTTATTTTTATTCTTATTGGATGATTTATAATTCTAACATATTTGTTGCACTCCTGGCCAAAAGCATTGGGGCCTTTAAAATAGAATTGTGAAGTGAAAATTACATAAGAACTTGTTCTGTTGTTTCAGTGAAGTTGAGGAGGAATTACTTGAATATTATGACAATGTTTTAGTGTGTTTATTTTTAACGTTCATTAAAAAAAATCACAAAAGATAAAAACACATCTGAATTGAAAAAAAAAATGAAAAAGGAAGGATTTTAAAACAATTTGAATCTTTAAAAAAAATGTGTTGCACTCCTGACCATAGAAATATGGATCTGAAGCACAGACAGATCCTGTAATTGATAAATCTGTTTGGTAAAAATGTTCTTTGTGTCTTTATTTTCCAAAATAAAAATCAGAAAATCATATAATGATAATAGTTTTTTCATGCTTGGGAGCGAAACATCAAATGTTGCACTCCTGACATTTTTGGGTATGCACATATACTTGACTCTCATTAATGCTGCTTGTGATTTATATAACATTTTTAAGTTTTAAAAATGTATATCAGTTATTATTTTACACTTCCAAAATTCTTTTTTGTCTTAATTTTCTATCAGAATTTTACAATTGATGTTTTTTCGGCAACACTAAATTTTTTCTGTTGCACTCCTGACATGGTATAACATTTTTTTAAACATCAGCCATGACCATAACTTCATTAAACAAAAGTTATGACAGTCCACATTTAAAGCTCAATACTTTGAATATTATCAGGAAAGTCTTTATTTTCAACATGAAGCATTATTTTTTATTTCACAGATCTCCAAAAAATATTGAAATTTCAAAATGTCACAAAAAGGTGTTGCACTCCTGACAATTTTAGCATCATTTTTGGGCATAACTTTCTTGTTAGTTGAGATATCAACGAGATATTTGGCAGGTATTTACCGGTAGACACTATCTAAAGACATATGCTGAGACATAGAAATCTATTTTCATTACCTGTATTTTTAGTGTGGGTTGATAAATATGCTTTTGGTCATTTTTTTTTTTTGAATTCACCCTAATTTCATTTAGGAGCAGGCTTGCACTGAAGAAATTATGGGCCAAAACTCATGCAAAAATTGATGCTTTAACGGGGGAAATTGTTGTTTACGACAATTTTGAAGGTTTATTTGAAAATTGCAAATAGCAAATCTTAGGTTCAAATGCAAATTTGAAATATATATATATATATATATATATATATATATATATATATATATATATATATATATATATATATATATATATATATATATATATATATATATGACATATGGCTTTAGGAGACCAAGGAGGATATATTTTCTGGCTTAGGGAGACCACTGGATTAAGGCGACCATTTTCGGTCTCCCTATTATTTTGACCTCATCAGTATTGCAAATGTCTTTTTATAGATAAATAAACAGTCTGCCATTAAATATTATTTATCTTTAACTCTGTTATTTAACATTCAAAAGTTGTCTAATTTCTATCATCTTCCCTAAAAAAGAAAAGAATTTATAACCTACGTATAATTTCAAAGGATAATTTTTCTGCATTTTGGAGATCATGAAAAACATGCAATTAAACAAAAAATCTAGCATATATATTTTTTCCGCTTTTGATTTGTTCAAATGAGTGTTTCTTTAACTTAGTTTTCCATGTTTTATGTTAAAAACCTAAAAAGGAAAAATATTGTAAATTTATGAACCATGTTTTGAATTCTTAGCAAGTGCTTTCCGTCATTTGTTCCGAATGCCATCGGAATGCCCCTTCAGTTTTCAGAAAATGACCTCTGAACACCATGGATGTTGAGAAATTTGGGTAAGTAACTAAAATGATACAGTAATAAGTTGTAATTAAGAATACACAAGACAAACATTCGTTTGGGTTTTTTGTTGTTTTTTTTTTTTTTTTTTTTTTTTTTTTTTTTTGCCTAGTAATTTAGCTTTCAAGAGAAAAAGTATGATTTTAAATAATCGTTAGACTATAGTTCGGTATATAAAATCCTGAAGGAAATCCGAAATAAAGTTAAATGATAGGCCCCTATATTTTTTTGATTCTTTTATGCAAGTCCACAAACAAATTAAATATTTAAAGATTAGGCCGAACGTTGAAAAAATAGTCTCGCAAGTTGACGCAGCTATTTCGAGCTTAAAAATTTAAATTAAACTTTCTGTAAACATCATGCAGGACATGTTCATCATGATATAGTATAAATGAAACAGACCCTGTAAGAAAAAAAATAGCTGTAATTTAATAATTGTTTATTAATACAATGTGGTCCTCTGCTAATAGAATATATATGCTGTAAAAAAAAAAATCTGAATCAGGGTGAAGCAGATTTGATACAATACATGGCTGAAGGAAGGGGGGGGGGGCAGGCCCCCTGTAATTTTGCTGAAATTTAGGTATACTATAGAAAACATTGCTCCTTTATGCTTGGGCCTCCTCAATAATAACCTCTGGTGATCTATTTTTCTTTTGCTTTTGGGCCCCCTCAATAATAACCTCTGATAATGTATTTTTCTTTTGCTTATTAAAATTTTTTTTGGTTTGTAGCCTCCCCCAACCTGAAACTGAAAAAATGTTGTTTGGTTGTGCTCACCCCCCCCCCCTCCAACTAAATTACGTACGGCCCTATTCTCCATCCCTGAGGTTTTCTTTCACCAAAGAAAGATGAATTGGTAACAGTTCAGATATATATAGCAATATTTACAGAAGGGAATATTCTCGTTTAATTATGAAGATGTGACAGTAACTCAGTCAAAGCCACAGTGAGTGTAACATTTATTTAATATTATTGTTAATGTTTACAAATAGTGAAATACTGATACTGTGAAATTTTAATGGATATATAGAAAATATAAAAGTACAAACATTTATTGTAAATCACATACATGAAAAGCTTCTTTTTTTAAGCAATTGGAAATTCTTCATTTTTTCATGAAATTATTTTATTTCGTATGTATGATAATTTATTTCGTATTTTAATTCTGTCAACAAATCATTGTCGCAGCCTAGTTCCCTTCATTATTTTCAGCAGTTCAGTGACAGAGATAAAATAATCATTTGAGGTTTATATCCCCCCCCCTCCCCACCAAATGAAACTGAAAAATGTTTGGTTTTGGTCCCCTTCAACTGAAATTGATTCCTACTTACCATGCTTACAGGCTTAACTATGAAGATGTGACAGGGAGTGTAATAACAATAATTTTTCAGACGGATACATATTAAGCTGATATACGTATAAAATTTTAATGGATAGATAGAAATTAATAAACAATTACAACCATTTATTATAAACTACATAAAGATAATTTTTCAAGCAATTTGAAATTCTTCATTTTTTATGATAATATTTTATTTCGTATATATGTTTATAGGTTTATTCGTATCAACAAATCTGTGTACGAGTTAATAACGCAGCCTGGTTCCCTGCATTTTCAGTGAACCACAGAGAACCAGAATAAGATTGTAGGGAAACAAGCCTTGTTACAAGGTTTGAGGTTTGTTTATTTTATATTTTTATTTACACTTTTAAAAATTATTATTATTATGCAAAAATCTGTGTGCAGATGAATATTTACATTTTAATGTTATAAGTCGTTTTGTGGTTCATATTTGCGGTGACTGTCCCACGTGTGTTTACCTGTTTACATTCACCTACTGACCTAGAGTCTTCAAAATATACCTTCTGTAATCATGACTGTTGTAATCTTGTTTTTATGTTAGTTTACCATATGTAACTTGACTGTTGTATAGATTTATAGCGATCACTGCAAGCTTTTAATATTTAGGTGAAGAGAAATTTCAGACTATCAATCACAGGCACTTGTTTCATATACGGTGCACCTCTACTTTTTTTTACCACAAGGTATCTAACTCAATTTCAGGCACCCCCGCTTCAAGCTCGTATTTTGTTCATGTATCATTATCAATCATTAACCTACTTTAAAATGACATCGTTCGCTTCAAGAGACTTTTTTCTTGTCAAATAAATCGTTTCAGACATCTCTGGTCGAGTCTCTTTATTGTAAAGCACTTATTTATTCCACGAAAATTACCTCGATACATTTTAAGACTTTAGATTGGATACAACTTCCAGTTGGGGGTAGAATAAAACCAGAGACTTCAGAGTATTCCATTCCGAGGTCTCTGGATTTATCCTTCATTTATAACCCCAACCGCATTTTTGTATCGAAAATTACCTTGATACATTTTAAGACTTTAGATGGGATACAAATTTCATTTTTTTCACAGGTCACGAGGTTTCAACTTAAAAAATAAAAATTCTCACTGTTAAGATATGTTGGAAATTTTAGCTTGATGTATTGATAATTTGCCAATTTATTATGTAATAAAGGGGACTTTATATGATCACCCGGCGCTGTCGCTTTAGTTCAGTCTTCACAACAATTCTTTTTCAGCACATGCCCTTCGGGCATGTAGACCTATCATTTTTACCCAGCTCATTCAAATTTGTACATGTCCTACTCAAAATTCTTACATTTACCAGTATTGTGCAACAAAAAAAACCCATTAGGTATAAAGGTTTTATATTAATTTTTTCAGCGTCGTAAACCAACCATGGCCTGTGATTGCCATTTTCTAAAGCGTTTTTGTTCATAAATAACTTTTGAGTTGCATGCTGGTCATTTGTTGGCCGGTTTAGCTGAACTGAATTTCAGAAATGGGATCATGACTGTAGTGCCACAGTATGTGGCATGGATGAACATCTCGTAATTTAGCAAGCAACTTCGAGAAAACAAATAGGTTAAACTAAACACTTCAATGATTAGATTGACAATCATTTGACAGGTCGTATCGAGAATGTAGACAGGCAATCCATCGACATTACATATAGCAACGTTTAAGCGAATAATGGGGGTAGGACAGAGTAAATGGCAAGTAAAGATCGTACAATGAAAGAAGATTCACATATGCCCTCTTCGGACATGTAATTTGGCAATTTTTACAAGCCCGGCTGCAAATTTAACAGGTCCCTGGCATTGGACTCCCGGGTTATTTGGAAGACTGTTAGTTTAGTTTCATGAGGTCCGACAACATTGATTCTCAATGTCTGCTCCCTCTACCCTATACACTTATCTTGATAAAATTACATAAATTATATTATTAATTATATAAATTGATATGAATTATATAAACCGGTCTTGTTTATATAATTTTACAATGTCATAAACAGCTGCTTAAGTGCATATAATATTGTACTAAATGGATTTATATATAGGATTAGGGAAAGATCCTCACTTGATTATGGCAGCATATTTAGCCTGTAGGAGTTTATTATCTACCACACATGATCAATGTCACTTTTGGATGTGAATGACTTTTGACACCCTAACTTCAGTTCAAATCAACGTTAACTTTATGTGACGTCTCTCTGAATCTTTTTTGGCATGTAACTTGGGTAAAAACAATTAAGTACTCTTGATGCATTTGATTTCTCTTAGCCCGTTTAAACATATCCAAGGTCTATACCAGTTTTTGCAGGGGCGAAACTATGTAGAAGTTGGAGAAACCCATCCCCTTTTTGACGTATTTGGTTTTCGAGGGGTGAAAATTTTCAATATTACACTCAACTACATGCAATATTTATTATATTATACTGAATGTTTTATACAAATACAAATAATAGTGAACTTTGAGCGCATAAATCTGCGCAGTCACTATTTTTTGGAATATCACCCGTCGTCAAGCAATGTTGACTGTTGTGACACTGGGCGTGGCTTCATTATTCAGCGGATAATAGTGCTTTTTAACAAATGTTTCTTGACGAATCAGATTAATTCATCTAATATACCTGAAAGTACAATATTAATTAATTGTCATCATTTTCCTATATTAGCATTTTTACTGGTAATGGTTTTGAAATGATAGGAACATGCACTGTTCAAAAAGTCTTAAAATTTTGTTTTGGCTCAATTTCTTTGTTAAATTACTGTGTTGAACTAAGGCAGGTCAATTAAAGTAACATGATCCTATAGATTCCATGTACATTTAGTACTGTAAAGTAGACAAATTTATTGTTCTCACAAGTAGTTCTCAAACATTGATTTAAGTTGGTCTCCTGAAGGATGTAATAATGCAATTGGTCTGCTTAAGGTATAGTGTATAATATAGACATGCATATTTTATTTTGAATTTGTATTATGTCAATCATTAGAAATATATGGATCTTAATTAAAAAAACATTGTTTTCATTAGAATTTAAGATATGTATAATAGGCATATATTCTTCATGCTTTTCCATAGTTAAGTCCTTTTTTACAGGGTCTCTGCTAGTATCATGTGGACCCCAGTGTAACAAATCTATGGAAAGAGAGAAAATCTCAGCTCAAGGGTCAACATGTCTTTATTCCAAGAAAGGTAAATTGATAATTTTTTCTGCTAAAATACTCTTTTATAAAATTATAATATCAATGCAAAAGAGTGAACAAACAATGTACCTAACAACATTTTGAAAATGAAAGCGCAATAACAGTTAATAATTATGATCAATCGAATGAATGTTAATAATCCAATCAAAGTCCTTGTTGTATATCATTTTTGCTAGGGCTGTGTATTGAGCAAAAAAAAAAAAAAAAAAAAAAAAAAAAAAAAAAAGACATTTTTTAATGCGATATGCAATATATTGAATTCTTTAACAATTCTATCAAAAAAGTCTTATAAATCATTATGCATGAATTTTATAAAAATAATAATTGTTTTTTTTCTCATTTTTAATTTTTTGTCTCACCGTCTTTAAAAAATACACTTCAAATTCAAACTTTTCTTGACTGTAAAATCAACATGTTAAGTAAAGTTGTCTATGTATTTTTATGATTTTGTAATAATCATTTAAGATGTGCTACCTCCTTAATGATTATATCATTTTTGATCAGTTTTAATTCAAAACAATTACCGGTAAATATAATCTTTGGTGATTGAAATTCCCAAGTTTTTCACAGAATTACATAAAAAAAACTGCCTGCCCAAAATGTATTGGAATTAAGTTATTTTTAGCTCACCTGAGCCAAAGGCTCAAGTGAGCTTTTCTGATCAAAATTTGTCCGTTGTCTGTCGTCGTTGTCGTAAACTTTTCACATTTTCATCTTCTTCTCAAGAACCACTGGGCCAATTTCAACCAAACTTGTCAAAAAGCATCCTTGGGTAAAGGGGATTCAAGTTTGTTCAAATGAAGGGCCACACCCTCTTTCAAGGGGAGATAATTAAGAATTAGTGAAAATTTAGTGGTATCTTTTAAAAATCTTCTTCTCAAGAACCACTGGGCTGTAAAAGTTGAAACTTAGGTGAGACCTTCATTACATAGTGTAGATTCAAGTTTGTTCAAATCATGACCCCCTGGGGTAGGTTGGAGCCACAATGGGGGATCAAAGTTTTACATAGGAATATATAGGAATAAATCTTTAAAAATTTTCTTCTCAAGAACAACAAAGCCACGATTAGTCATATTGATATGGAATCATCCTCAGGTAGTGTAGATTCAAGTTTGTTCAAATCATGACCCCTCGGGGTAGGGTGGGGCCACAAGGTTCGATCAAAGTTTTACATAGGAATATACAGAAAAAAAATTGAAAAATCTTCTTCTCAAGAACAGCAAAGCCTTGTTAAGTCATATTGATATGGAAGCATTCTCAGATAGTGTAGATTTAACTTTGTTCAAATCATGACCCCCAGGGTTAGGGTGGTGCCACAATTGAGGATCAAAAACTTCAAAAATCTTCTTCTCAAGAACAGCAAAGTCATGTTTTGTCATACTGATATGGAAGCTTCCTCAGGTAGTGTAGATTCAAGTTTTTTTCAAATCATGACCCCTGGGGGGTAGGGTGGGGCCACAATGGGGGATCATAGTTTTACATAAGAATATATAGGGAAAAAAAACTTGAAAAATCTTCTTCTCAGGAACAGCAAAGCCATGTTTTGTCATATTGATATGGAAGCTTCCTCAGGTAGTGTAGATTCAAGTTTGTTCAAATCATGACCCCTGGGGGTAGGGTGGGACCACAATGGGGGATCATAGTTTTCCATAGGAATACATAGGAAAAAACTTCAAAAATCTTCTTCTCAAGAACAGCAAAGTCATGTTTTGTCATACTGATATGGAAGCATCTTCAGGTAGTGTAGATTCAAGTTTGTTCAAATCATAAACCCCAGGGGTAGGGTGGGGCCACAATGTGGGATCAAATTTTTACCTAGGAATATATAGGAAAAAATCTTTTCATCAACGGAAAAGCCATGTTTAGTCATATTGATATGGAAGCATCCTCAGGTAGTGTAGATTCAAGTTTGTTCAAATGATGGAGGGGGGGGGGGGTTTAGGGAGGGTCCACAATGGGGGATCAAATTTTTAACAAGGGAATATATAGGAAAAAAATCTTTAAAAATCTTCTGCTCAAGAACAGTAAAGCCATTTGTAATATTGATATGGAAGCATCCTCAGGTAGTTCAAAATCCAAGCCCCCTCCCCTTTAAACTTTTCAATACTGAAGTGATTTGTGCTTTTTCCTAGCCAATGTGCTCAGGTGAGCGTTGTGGCCCATGGGCCTCTTGTTTTTGATACGATATATTCATTAATCTAGATACATATCGATATACAGGTAAACTTCGGTATCTCGAACACCGGTATGTCGAATACCACGGATATCTCGAAGTGAATCAACGGTCCCAGCCGTTTTTATTATATTTATGATTTTAAAAAACCCCGGTATCTCGAACATGGAAATCTCAAATACCTCGCTTATCTTGAAGTAGATTTACGGTCCCAAGTGCTATAAACACATGCGTTATCTCGAAGTCCAACAAATTCTCGCTCCACTGAATTCACACCTTAGTACACAATAATCCCATTATGCTAATTTTACGGTCTGTTGAACGTTTCCGTTAGGTCTAGCACAGGCTTCATGGGACCATTGCTGATAATCACACCTTATTAGTCCCAAGCTGTTGTTTTTGGTAGTTGAATTTAATTACGCAGGCCAGGTGATTTGGAGGTGTTAATAAAATGCACTCTCAGAGATACTATGACACGATAATGAAACAGCAGCTTGGGGACGATTACTGTACTAGAAATTTAAATTATCGAAAATACACGCTTATACACATCATTACATATCAAAGTAAACACTGAACACATCAAAGTGATATTGACCTCAAGAAATTAAACAATTAAAGACATTACTTTGAGTATAAAAGTCAGTACCAAAAATCAAATCTTCAGTAAATATCATGTCCGATAAGGCAGTCTAACGAAGGACCCGGTAGCCAACCAGGGGGGATAGTTAGATTATCTGACCGTAGTGGAAAAAGAAAACTTAAAGTTCATACAATCGAAACAAAGTTTGCTTCTGTTTATTCATATTGGCAATTTCAATAAATTATTGTAGAACGATAATTCCTGTTGTTACATTTAGGCATGTGGGTTTATGTACATATCCTGTTAAAGTCTTTGTGTATCACATTATATCATGATATACTTCAGACAAATTAGTACACCCGTAGTTTTGACACAATTCATACATTGATTTCTTTTGCCACAATGGTCTCTTTAATATTGCAATAATGCATTTGGTCTTCCTAATGCATGTATAATGCAGGTACTGTATATATTCTATGTCCAGCTTATAGGTGAGTCATAAAAAGATTAGTATTTTGAAACCAGGTTAAAACATCAGAGCATTGATTTGAAATTGTCAATTGATTCTGGCAAAAAGTTGTACCAATTTATAAGCGGGTCAATAGCAAATCCCTCCAAAATAACCTCAAAAAATACAACTGACTTATAGGTGGACCACCTTATAGGCAAGTATATATACGGTATAGTTTTTGTTGAATTTTGCTAACAGCAAAACACTATGAATAATGAATTTTGGAAAAAAAAGATTATTTAGTTTAATGATGCATGTATGTAGTATAGAAATATTGTTCATATGCCTGTACATGGTACAAATATGCATTTTACAGAGTGTACATATGCCAGAATCATATGGACCGCAGACTGGCCCTGGTGATTCCGTTAAAAAAAAGGAGGAAAAATCAGTGCTTGTGCTCATTGGTCATTGGACAAAGGTAACTAGATTTATTTCATGAAACTAAACATGTAAATTACTAGGATATTAAAATATCACAATTAAAATACATGTACTGATTTATATATATATATGGATATCAGTTGGTCTCCTTGATGGAGTTAAATGCATTTGTTATCCCTTTTAAGTGGATCATTTAAATATTATGCAGTTTATTTAGAAGCTCTTTATTATCTGCACTCTTCACTTTTACAGGGTGAATGCCAGAATTTTTTCAAGAACAGTCTGAATCTGACATGGAAAAATGAAGAAAAACAGCCTTCCTGTTTATAAATCTACATTCTGACAAAGGGTAATTTTGTTTAGTTCAATTAGAAGTGCACATTTAATTTCAGTTGCTTTCCTTAATGATATATTATAGCATTTTTATTCCCTTATGAACAATATGTATACTTGTAAAGCATGTATCACAAAATCTTCTGCAAACAAAGTTTTGGGTGTAGAGTGTTTGTTGTTTAACGTCCCTCTTGAGAATTTTTCACTCATATGGAGACGCCACCACTTGTCAGGGGAGAGCTGCAAATTTTTGTCCTATACTCAGCACTTACGGCCATTGAGCATTGAGGGATCTTTATCGAGCCAGCACCTACTGTGACATGGGACCTCGGTTAATACCTCTGTCTCATCTGAAGAACGGGTCTCCACGTCCCACAGTGGGATTCAAACTCGCGATGTAAGGATCAGCTTCTTTCTCCGCAACTCTAGAGTAGACGCTCTAACCACTGCATCTGCTCTACTTTGGCAACTTTGGGAGTATATAAGCATAGGAATCATCATGTCCATCTGTCTGTTCATGTGTTTGGCCACTTTTATGATTAGTTTTTTGTTCCAATTCTGGCTGAGATAAATTGATTTAGGTCATCTAAATACAAACAAATTAAGGAAAATTACTATGGTATTGGAATGAACTTTTTGGAATACTGTCTAATTGTTCCATTGTAGTTGGTTTCTTTAATGTTGAAGTAATGCATCTGGTCTTCCTAATGCATGGCATACACTGTATGCATGTGTAATGTTAAAGTTGGCTGAATGTAAAACAGTTCTTGCGTTATGACAAAGGTAAATAGATTTAGTTCATGTAACTAAACATGTAAATTATTAGGGTATTAAAATCTCAAGTTTTGAATACTGATTTACATGTGGAGAGTAGTTGGTCTCCTTAATGCAGTAATAATACATTTGGTCTCCCTTATGCATACTGTATATTATATAAAGGGGGAGTTTCGATAAGGTCGCTCAGCGGCCCACTTTTTTTCATAAAAATAAATTTCAATTTATTTTTTCAAAACTAGTTAAGAATTCAAGAAAAATATATTAACTTTTGTTATTTACATTTCAGAGGTTAATATGAGATGAATTCACAACGTAGCTGATACATACTTAGATGTACCCTCAGATCCGTTAACATTAGGCTTATGGGAAAATATAAGAGGGTGGCATTTAAAAATCGATGTTTAGAATATGAAGTGCATGAGGGACACTCACCTAATTTTTTTCAGTAATTAGATATACTCTGCACACTAATTTCTTGAAATATGATGAGTGTCGCGTGTGCACTTCATATCCAAAAAAATGAGATTGCATAAAATTTGCATATCTAAAATTAGAAGCTCCTGGTTTCTTGATCTGACTCTGTGTTAAAATACTAGGCCAAAAGTAGCATTTTTTTTTAAATCAAAGAAGATTCTCGATTATATTAACAGTAGAAAACATTATCGTATCCTATCTTCATTTCGACAGTTTTTTTTTTTTTGTCGCCAACGTATAACGTTAACATCACATTTTTAGCTCACCTCCTTGAAGTTGGGGGAGCTTTCGTAATACCTTCGGCATCGGTGTTTCAGGTAAAAGTATTTGAAGCAGATTTTTTTTTTCAAGTATATCTATGCCCTATATTAATCAGAGTCACATGATCCAGCGTGTTTCCTTGTCACCAGTCAGGTTTCAGATGCTGGATTTTTAGTCAAAGAATGTCCAAGTAAATGTTTTAAAAGCAGGTTTAAGTTTTTGGAGCAGAGCAGCTGAAAGCACTTGTTGACCAGACTTGCTTTATGATGCACACTACTATATTGCTTCAGATGCTGGATATGACCTACATTTCATTAATAAGTGAGCAGGTTAAAGATTTTGAAGCTGGTCTCATTTTTATATAACTATAAGCCCCATTGTGACCAAACTTGCATTGATGATGCATCTAGGATTGCACATTACCAGACATGGTTCAGATGCTGCATCTTTCTTACATTTTCCTACTGACTGAACAAAAAATAAGTTTTCGAGCAAGTCCATTCCTTAATGTTATTCATCATGCATAGTTATATTTTTGACTTTCTTGTAAATAGAAATCCACGCTCCGACATGCTAGAGAGGCGCCCATGTATTTATGTGTGGTTGATATAGGAAACGTGGCTTGTTTTAAGTCTGGATGTCTAGGGGCATATGTCTGCTTGATTACGGATTAAACACATATCTTTGGCGTTTTCACATGCATTTCGAACTGCGCTCTGTTCTAGCAAATCATATATAATGAATTCTAGAACTCTCTAAATGAGAAGTGACTAGAAATGGTGTAAAAACTTAAGTATCTCTGGAGATTTGAGAAGCGAGAGGAAATAAGTCCTGGCTGGGATTCTCTCAGTTACGCTGAAAACATAATGCAGATCTATGTGGGCAAATACTTATAAGTTTCATAATGAGAAGGAAAATTTAATGCATTATTGATTTTTCCATCATATTACGTATCATGATAAAATACTTTTGACTGTAATCAATATCATTCATATTATCAAATACATTGCAATATACAGAAGCCAGTAGGTGCAAGGTAAAAAAATATGTTATCTGTCAGCCGCCAGATAAGTTTCTGCCATTGAAATATCTGGCGGCCGCCAGATAAAATTGTAGTGTTTTTGCCAATCAAATTGTAGCACCCAATGATATACCTCAATGCACTTGATTGACAGAGGTACACAGACCAGGTATTTTCGAAGGCGGTGCTTAAAATCTCTGCCTTTAAGGAGGCTGGGGGGTCAACAAATTAACCATCCGATATAACTTAATTTTTTAGATATGATATCTTAAGCTGTCAACTATTATTTGGCAAAGAAAAATTTAATACATTTTTGTTTCAAAATTTGATCATTTTTGTATATCTTTATATGGAGCTCTTCTTCTGAAGGAGATCAATATAGTCTGAAAATGGCCACAACCCCCCAGCCATCTTAACGACATCTACAACTTCTCTTTGAAGTCAAATCTTGGAGTTTCATGCCTTATTAGCAAAGATAAAATCTACACTTCATACAAAAATTCACTTCATAAGGTTTTCACCTCATAACTTTAGATTTATGTTTTATTAGATTACATGTCTATACCGCAAGGAACTTATTTGTCGGATTCTAGTTATTTATGTTGCGGCCAACAGATAAGTTTCTGGTCGCCGCCAGTCATTTATGTGGTGGCCGCAGGAAAACTATTTGGCCGCCGCCAATTTTTCTAGCGGCCGCCAAATAATTATGTGGCGAACGCCAGATAAAATATTTTTCTTACCTTGCACCTACAATGTACTGGCTTACCTAGCAATATGATGCTTTTAAGTAAACTTTTTATTCATGTATGTATTTAAAATATTTTTTAATCTTTTTATTTCAAAACATGTTATTTAATTTCAATTTTATGATACTAAGGTATATTTTTATAAAACATGTAGTTGTATAACCTTATTGATGAAAATGTAGTGCATATACCTGTATATGACGTTTTTGCATTCACCTATCTCATGTCTACATATCTTTTCATTTGCATTTTTCGTATGGGAAAATGTTAAATATTGATTATATAGTTCATGTATAAATTGTCGATTAATTATGATGTTAAATCTTTCTATATATTTTACGTTTCATAAGTTAAATCCATCCTCTTTTAAAGAAAAGTAACATTTGACACACCAGAAAAATATCGCACCTTAAAAAAACATTCGCATAAGATAAACACCATTTTCCGTAAAAAAATTGTTGAGATTGGTTAATTTATGTCTTTATTCATATTTATCCTATTTCATTTACGATTTTGACGGTTAAAAAATCCACTTTCCCCCTATGAAAATGTCTACTCCCAAAATATACGAAATGGGGGTATACTTAAATTTTCAATTATCACGTGACCGGAAAATGCGTAACATAAATTATTTTCATATTTTTAGGAAGTTTAGACGTTTTTCTACAAAATATCAAAATTTCATAAAATTTCGTGAGGGGCCGAAAAACGGCCTTATCGAAACTCCCCCTTTAATGACTGACATGTACGAGGGTTGATCCAAAAGTTCATGGAATTTCTTCATATTTTATTTATTTATTAGTGAAAGTGGTTGAATACTGATTTACATGTGGATAGTAGTTGGTCTCCTTAATGCAGTAATAATACATTTGGTCTCCCTTATGCATACTGTATATTATATAAATTTAATGACTGACATGTACGAGGGTTGATCCAAAAGTTCGTGGAATTTCTTCTAGTGTTGTACCGATAATCAGAAAACATTGATTGTCGACAAAAAAAATGCTACTGATTCCGATGATCGATTATAGTTTTTCATAATCGATCATCGGAAACATACTTCTAATACAATACATTCCGGAATTATCCATTTCTGGTTTAAAATTTATTTCTTCTTAATGAAAGAAAATGGCATCTGCATCTGATACTAGCCAACTAGCACGAAGCAGAGGTGATTAAGAACCGAAGATGCATATATAGGGCCTAAAAAAATTATTTTTGTTTCCTGTAATAACTCGACCGACCCATTCAATTTACCCCCGGGTGAATTTTTTTTCTGCCAAATCTGTGTTTGCTCTTTGGTTTGATCAATCAGCTGATTCTTTTTATTCAAAAAATATTAATTGTATCTTTTATTTGAGATATAAAATATGCAACTTAGTCAACATTTACCTTAAATATAGAGTGATCAATTCCCCCCACAGCTTTTTGAAGTTCGTTTTCTGCCGCTAGGCAGCCATGTTGGGTGTCCACTGTAAATATTTTTAGGTCTAGAAAGTGTAAAAGAAGCAAAACAACAAAGAAAATAATATATTATGTATTTTATATATTCAAGTTAAAGAAATAAATGAAATTATTGTAATAGTCTGCTTTTTGTATACAAAATTATGAAGAAATCCGATTATAATCGGTGAAATCGCATCAGAAGCAGTAACCAATTCCAACCGATGATCAATTATGAAAATTAACCGATGTCTCATCACTAATTTCTTCATATTTTTTTTTATTTATTAGTGA